TGCCCGTCTTCCTCCCTGGTACTCAGTTCTTCCGCTTTACAAAGAGCATGAGCTTTTCAGCATTTGAGCTGCTGCCCTGCCGGGGAGGAAGGCTCCTCTGCGGGGACAGGGGTCTCACCAGGCTTGTCAAAGCCCCTCTTCACAGGAGCTCCAAAGAAAGCCTCCACCGGATGCCACAGCGGTCGCCTTGGACAGCTGCCTAAGGTCTGGTTTCCTCCGACCTGTTAGATCTCTCCCGAGAGGGGGCCCTCACTGGGCTGGACGGAAACCTTGCAGGCCCAGGGCTCTTCTCAACGGGGAAATTCAAGCAGTCACATCCTATCCCACTGCAGTCTCAACTCATGCCCCGGCCCAGCTCCTCCCGGTCCAGCCCCGGCCTCCTGGTCAGGCGAGGGGGTATGTGTGTCAGGAACTGTGGTCAACCTCACTCCAGAACTGTGCCTGAGATGCGTTCGGGGGTGGATAGAAGTTTAAAGTGACTTCTTCCTCTGTGGAAACCTCCAAGCATTGTCAAAGCCCAGCCATGACTGGGAGCCTGCCCCCCCCCCCATGGCCAGCAAGGTCTGTCCACTCTCCAAGAGGCCTGCTAGCGATGTCCTAAGAGACTCCAGGCCAACTCTCTCACTCTCACAAGAGGGGCTCAAGGGGCCATGGGAAACAAATCTTTCCCCTGTAGTCTCTCCATAGCACCACCATCAAAGCAGCCTGTCTGTTCCTCATCCTGCAAACTTTGCTGGTGGGGGTGAGGGACTTCAAATGTCAAAACTTCACCCTGAATCCCCCTCTTGACGTGGCAGTGAAGGGCAGGCATCTCACAACCCCCTCAAAAGTCCCCTCCTCTAGCCTCAGCGTGACTCCTTGGTCCTCTGATTCTGACTTGTGTGTCCCACATGGGCAGAGGTTGGGACAGAGTGCAGGGCTCAGTGGGGTTTACAAGAAGGACAGATGAGAACTGCTCTGGGGCGGCACGGAAAGCGGCTTCATCCCAGTAGCAGGGGTGTGTGGACCAGGTTGGCCACCAGCCTCCTGGCAGTCAGTAGCTGGCATTCTGTCTAGGAGAAGGTGCACTGGGAGCTGAGAGGGGGAGGAGCTGGTGCTGGGGCCAGGGGAGGAGGAGGTGGTGTTGGGGGCAGAGAAGGAGGTGGGGCTGGGGGCGGAGGAGGAGCATATGTTCCCTGACCTCCCGAGTGCAGGGCTTCAGGCTGATCCCAGATTAGTTAGGAGGAGCCCAGCATGGCCAGCCTGTCTGCTCTGGTCAGTCCTGTCCCTCCTACTCAGTCCGTAGTCTGTCTGTGTGCCTGGGTTTCTCACTGTGAGCAGCAGCGCCTCTCTCGTCGTGCATTCGGGCAAAGTTAGGCAGAGTACTCCCTAGCTTATATTCCGAGCTCCATAAATGTCACCTCTCATTGCTTGTCCCCCTCAGGTCACCGGGGCAGGCTCTCACCCAGCCATATGCCTTTCCCTTCCCTTCCTCCTGCCAGCCGGAACTGCCCTGACCAGCCACCTGGGACTTGAATGCACTGGCCCGTGTGGCATTTCTCTGACAAAATTGGCCCCTCCTGGCTCGTTGGGCTTTTTCCTCCGGGGCAGCCAAGCTGGAAGGTCTGGCAAGGCTCCCAGGGCCTCCGATCTGTCAGTGTCCTGCTCCAAGGAGAGTCAGAGTGCTTGGAACATGTCTCCTTAGAGACAGGGCCTGGCTCCCTGCACCACCACCCCCCCAGGAAATGGAGCCTCCGTGGCCCCCACGGCCAGCACACCCGGTGGCATACCTGGCTGGGCTTCAGCTACATGACCTTGAACCAGCCACATAGCTCTCTGAGCTTCGGTTGGTTCACCCACAGAGCAAGGATGACTATTCCCATCCTGTCCCGGCGCCAAATGAGGTCAGGACCGTGAAGGGGCTTTGAGAAGTCTTCACACACATATGGTGGGGCCAGCGTGTTGGAACTGTGGCATCGTAGAATCAGGAAATGACACAGTAGGTTTTTCTTGGCCGCTTCCATCTGTCAACGCCTGGCGAACCACCCTCTTCCCAGAGTGCTAGTACCAACGGTGGCGGCCTCCGAATTAAGCTCCTTGAAAAAGCCAGTGTTCACACGGTGGTGCCAAGGACTCTGCATCCTGGATTCACCCCACGGCAGCCTTTTCCCAAGCCACCCCGGGGAAAACCAATGCCCAATTTTCCAGACTACTTCTTCTAGTCATGGGTGGATGTGTTAGTCTGAGTAAACTAGGGAAACAAATCCACAGAAACTCATATGTATAAGAGAGAGTTTTATATAAAGGGTAAGCTTATATTAAGAAAGAATTCCAACCCAGTGCTGTCCAAGCCCATAAGTCCAACATTAGTCCATATGTCCAAAATGGCCTCCTCGATTTTGCAAAACACACACAATGACGCCAACTGCAGGAGGAAAGCAGAATCAGTGAAAGTGTAAGCATCTCAGTGCTGGCAGGGGTCTCCACACGGCTGCTCCAGCACCCAGGGCTGCATCAGGGTAGGTCCATGTGGCTTCTCCTTGGGGATGTCTTGCAGGAAGTGAGCCTTGCCAGCTAAAGCAGGGAACTGGCTGAGGCAGCGGCACCCTGGTCTGACCACCAGAAAGCAAGAGACCCAAGAACTAGAAAGGCAAGGCTCACTGAGCCATTTATCCTTCTGCCCTTCAATTAACCCCATGTGTTTATCGGCCAGGTTGGCACAATAAACTTTAACTATCTCAGTGGACTAGGTCAATCTGGGTCAAATCTCCAATGAAGGGCAGCTTGGGAAGTATTCTGAGTCTGACTGTGGGTGCTGGGGAGCAAACAGACAATGGCTTAGGAAAAGATGGGAACCGGAGGCAGGAGGCTGGCATCTGGGGCAACCCTTCTGCTGACTGTGCTAAGACGCTGGTGACATACTGGCCAGAGCGTTTTCATTGTCTCCGGGGCTAAAGGGGCACGAGTAGGCCCTCCAAGAGGAGGAAGCGCCTGGCAAATCTGCCATGCCTTTGAATGGAAATCCAAGGCATGCCCACCTCGGGATAGGAACAAACTAGATGAACCTCCCACAAGGGACCATCCAGCCCCCAATCATCTCAGTCCCTGAATCCCCAAATCCAATTGACTGCCTTCAGGTGGGCTTCCGACTTTAGTGACCCTACAGGACAGGGTAGAACTGCCCCTGTGTGTTCCAGAGACTGTAACTCTCCACGCGAGTAGAAAGTCCCTGAAAGTAGATGAAAATTCTTGGTTTGTATGTAGGCTGAGCTACCAGTCTAAGGACACAAAAATTATCTAGGGGTGGGAGGTGCAGGTGTGTGTGGGGGGTGGTGGTGGAAAATGGCTTCACCTTCTGTCTCATTTATTCCTACAGGTTTTCAGATGCAATATGTGGCATTCATCTTTTTTTTTTTTTTTTTTACGTTTCAGGTCTATGAGGAGGCCAAAAAAAAAGGGAGGGGGACAATAAAGCCAAGAGAAACAACAGACAACAAAAACAGATCCCTGAGAACTCCCAGAAGAGGAAATCATTAAAAGTTATATGCTAACATGCTCAAATATTTAAAAGATAAGATAGGCGATTTGGATAAAGAACTAGACATGTTTCTTTGAAAGCGTTTAATTTCTGCTTCTTTTAGCCCATCAATTGCATTCTTCAAATGCAGTGTGCTATTCCCCAGCACAGACCAAGAGTGAGGTCCAGTACAGTCCTCCAGGAAAAGCCAAACAAAGAGGGTTCTGGGCTACATTCGAGGATGCTCGTTGGTGAACGGACTTGCAGCAGCAACCATACAGTGTGTACACCCTGTCCTAGCAGCAAACTCATCTCTCATTTGTAAGATGCAACTAAAACTCAGCACACCACAACCAAAGAGGGTTTTCCCCCTTTGAGAACAGAGATCCATCTTCTTCCCTTGCACCTGCCCAGGCCCTGGCTGACTGAAGTCGTGGCAGACAGCAGCAGCTGCCATCTGCCCAGCTTGGTTTCTGCGCCAGGCTCCTGCCAAGTGCTTTCCAGACATTACCACATGGGATGGTCACAACCCTTCGGGGAAGGGATGATGATCCTCCCCATTTGACAAATGGGGAAAGTGAGGCTCAAGGAACCCAAATAATAGGTCCTAGGGAACAAAGCATCAGAGCCAGGATAGGAACCCAGCTGTTCCTGCCTCCAGAGGGGGCCCCACTCCCCTCCTGCTGATTTCCCAGACAACCCCTGGATGCCAGGGGAGGCCTCAGGATTCTCCAACCCACAACACTCATTAAATGCCACCAACTGTGTACAGGGTCCCGGGCCAGGAATATCCTGTTTCAAGGACCCAAGACCAAGGCTCCGGGAAGTAGCGATGTATCTGGTGTCCCATCCACCTTCTCTTGGTTTCCCTTCTCCTGCTCCTTTTCCCAGCTCAAGGTCAAGCCCCCAGGGAGGGCATGGGGTGGGGTGTGTGTGTGTGTGTGTGTGTGTGTGTGTGTGTGTGTGTGTATGGCAGGCCACATGCCCAGGATAGAAGGGGTAAGGGCCATAGTGCAATACCCTATTCTGGCCACCTCACCCTGGGAAAGCTGGGTGAGGGCTGT